GGTGACTTCCAGTGAGGAGCAGGTGTGCTCCTGGAAGATGGACATCAGGAAAAGCCAAGTCACTGGGTTTCCAGGCTGTGTTAAACATGCCAGACTAGAGAATATGATGGTCCATTTTGGCCTTCAAATGGTTTGCATAAAGGCACAAGTCCAGCAGTGGTACCAGATGCTTCCCTTGCAATAATCCTGCCAAGCACTAAATCCACATAGGAAATTAAAATCCATTCTAGCCCAAACTTGGTATTCAAAATGCCTCTTGTATTGCTGCTTTGTTTCAGCTGCTTCCTTTGCATCTGTGTGTGTTTGTTCTAATGTTTTTGGCTCAAGATGGACCTAAACTGCAGCATTTGGATGCAGATCTGAACTCTTCCCAGAGTCTGGGGGTGTTTGGTTCCGGGTCCTTGGCATAGCCCCATGATGAAGGGGAGCAGCTGCACAGCTTGGATGTGGGACAGGTTCTTCCTGGACTCTTAAGACACCTTCTGAGAAGATGAGGACTTGGAGTGCCCAAATCACTGCTGTGTTAGGCAGACTTTGATGGTTCTGTAATCTCTTTTAATTTCAGGCTTGTTTAACCTCCTTTGTCTCAGGCTCTTTCTTCCTTCAGTTTAGAGTCTCATTCCTTGGTCTTTTGTGATTAAATGTCTTGTCCTTCTTTTGGTGGGTTGTTAATTATATAGTGGAGGTATCAGGTGAGCCATGCATGGACTTGGGGATTGCCTACACCCTTAAACAGACCAGTCTTCCCCAGCTGAGGCCTGGGAGCTGTGTAACATGCTCAGCATGGCACCATGCCCAAGCTAATAAGCTCTCCTGAGAGAAAGAATATATTAGCTTGGGCTCAAAGCTTGAACTAATGTAGCTCTGTGGGTTTGGGCTCAGATTTGGCTGGTGGCCAGCTGGCTCTTCACTGCAGGCAGAGTGACCTTGCTTTGGCTTTCCAAATACTCTTTAGAGCTACCCTCAGTGAAATAAAGGATGTGTGGGAGGTTGCCTTCCCCTCCTCCAGTAAAGCATTGCCACTTCAGAGGGCAATTGTCAGGTGCTTCGCAGAAATAATCTACTAATGAGGATCAAATTGCTTAAGCTTTACTTTTCCATCCAGGTTTTTCCCGGTAAAGCCTCAGTAAGGTCCTTAAAACAGAGTTTTGGAGGAACACCATGAGCTGTTGTGCTTGGGGATACTATTACTAACTTTACTGTCTGTGGTGGTTCACAGGTGCAGAAGATGAAGGAGAAGTAGCTATTCCTTGATTAAAACCAGCTCCTTTCTTCAGTTAGCTTTATTGATCTGAAAGGTGGGAGGGAAGGAGGAACAGCCTCATTGCACTGGAGGAATCCGAGACAAGAGCCAACTGCATCCATCATCCAACCTAGTACAGAGTCTTGTTTTCTTGTCCTCACAGCAGAAGTCATCAGCATCTAGGATTCCCAAGCATTTCACCAGGGAATTCGATGCTTGGGAGTGTTCCAGACCAGGCTGGATGGGACTAGGAGCAGCCTGGGCTAGTGGAAAGTGTCCCTGCCCATGGCAGGGGGTGGGATGGGATGAGCTTTAATGTCCTTCCAGCCTAAACCATTCCATGATTCTATGCCAAGTATTTGTACAACCCTTGTGTTTGGGCTTTTAGTTCATGAGGAGCCTCCAAAGTACAAGATGGAGTACAATGCTTGGGATTAGTGATGGACTCAGTATTTGTCTTTCAATGTGGAGAATTCTGACATGATGGAAATATTTTCCCAAAGGGATTCCTGTTTTTTCATCCTTAACTAGAGCTGCTTAGTTGTGCAGTGCTTTCTTGTGAAGCCTGTGATGAACCTGCCACCTAATTATAAAGATAAACCTGTTCCTGAACAGATCTTAAAGTAAGTTATTTTTCCTTTTCCCTCAACATTCCCTCTGTGTTTTTCCCAATTCAGGCACAAGGTACAGTGCCTTTGGCTTGTGTCAATTTGTTTACTATCCCAGTTTAAACTTGGTTGGTTGTGAGAGAAAACAGAAGGACATTTATGGAAGGTGTCTGGGGGTGAGGAAACTCACATTTACTCTGCTTCTTTCCAGCTACTACAGAGCCAATGAGGTGCAGCAGTTCACACACTCCAGACCAGTCAGGAAAGGAGAGAAGGATCCAGACAATGAGTTTGCTGTGAGTCCTTTGCCTTTTTCTTGGGGTTTTTCGATGCCATTTTGACTGTCACCTTTTCCCCTCCACCTGTGGCAATGGAGGTTTGGGATTAAAAGCAGAGGAGAGAACCTAAGGGCTGCACTTGGCATTGCCATGGTTACCTGAAGCCATGTAAAGTCAGGAGGTTCCACAGGTGAAGGTCTAACATTCAAAACCCATTAGAATCCACAAATCCTGTGCTGTGTGGCCCCAGCTCCCTACGGAGTTACAGCAAGGGGTTGCATCCCACCTAGTGAAGGTGAGAAGGGCTGTGGAATTCCTGCCAGCTTGTTCTGGAAGGCTGATTCCATGCTCTGCCACAGGAGGGATTTGAATTGCAAGACCAGTATTTTCCTTACATCTTGGATGTTTTTTTCCTTCTC